TGTGGGTCTCTGTCTCTGTCTCCTTTCATCGCCTGATGAAGGTTAATATTCAGGAGTATGCCTATATGATTTTCTTTGGGTTCTCCTTCTTATTTAGCTTCTCTAAGAACCCGAATTATAGGCTCAATGTCCTTTATTTATGGCTAGAAACCAAATATGAGTGAGTACATCCCATGTTCCTCTTTTTGGGTCTGGCTTTCCTCACTCAGGATGGTGTTTTCTATTTCCATCCATTTGCCTGCAAACTTCAAGGAGTCCTTGTTTTTTACTGCTGAGTAGTACTCTAATATGTATATATTCCATACTTTCTTCATCCATTCTACTGCAGTGTCTTATAAGATGCTGCTTGTTTCCTTGCTTCTTCAAGTTTTATACTAAAGTTTTTGTTCATGTGTAGTTTATGTTTTGTGCAAAGTGATGGCTATGGGTCTAATTTAGTTCTTCTACATGTCGACATCCAGTTTTCTCAGCACCATTTGCTGAAGAAGAGGTAGGTCTTTTTTCCAAAATGTAGTTGTGTCAAATATCAGATGATTGTAACCACATGAACTTATATTTGGGTCTTTTGTTTTCTTCTACTGATATAAATGTCTTTTTGTTCTGTTTTGGTTTTGCATTTGAATTATGCCTTTTTTTCTTTTTATTATAGCTATGTAGAACTATTCCTGCATCTCAGCCGACTTGATCAGGGTGTATAATCTTTTTCAAATATGTTCCTTATTTGGCTTGCAAGTATTTTTATTGAGGACTTTGAATCTATGTTAATCCAGAAATGTTGTACTAATTTTGTGTTTGTTAGTATGCTTTTCCTAGAAGAGTTATATTAGTTTCATGGATGAATTTGGGGGAGCGCTTTCTGCTTCCATTTCTTTGAGTAATTTAAAAAGTATTGGTTGTTGATCTTTTTCGAAAATTTGGTTGATTTTTATTACTATTTAGATCTCCTTATTTGTTTAGATTGTTAATCTTCTCTCATATTTGGTGGTTTGAATGAATTTAAAAGCCTGTCCATTTATTTTATAAGGTCCATTTTAATTGATTATAGATAGGGTTTTAAGGTATTTCCTCAAAATATTTTGGATTTTTTAATGTCAGTTATAATGTTTCCCTTTTTATCTCTCACTCTATTAATTTGAATTCTCTCTTTCCTTTGGTTAGTTAGGGAAACAATCTGTTGAACTTGTTTATTTTTCCGTAGAACTAGTTCTTAGATTTGTACTTGATCCCTTGTACTTGTTTATATATTAATTTTGTAATTTTTGATTTTATTTTTATTATATCTTACCTTCTAATGAATTTTTGCTTGATTTGTTCTTGTTTTTATAAATTCCTGAGTTGCATCATAGAGACCTTTACTTATGCTCCTCCTGTTTTTTTGCTGTGGATGCTTAGAGATAATTTTCCCTAATTCTTTTTTTTTAATGTGTCCCGGTGGATCTTTTATGTTTTATTTTCATTTACATTTAGTTCTGATAATTTCTTTTTTCTTCACTGATTTCCTCTTTGTCCCATTCATTATTCATCAATGTGTTGTTTAATCATCATGGATTTGTATTTTTACTAGAGATGCATTTACTGTCAATTATGTTTTATTGCCTTGTTGTCAGAGAAAATACATGATTTATTTCAGTTATTCAAATTTGTGTAGATT